ACATATTTCATGTCCTTCCCTTCTTTTTAATATTGTACTGGTCTAATTGACTGTAATAAAGGAATTGAATTGAATTGAATTGACCTTAAAACACAGAAGATGCCATGATTTATTCAATGCTCTCTCCAGCTGATCAACAGGAGAATGCAAAGAACATAATTTGATCAGTACCCTGCCCTGAACTACTACTGGTCCTGAAGTAACCAACAGTCCCTCAACCCATCATCCCCCAAAGGGAAATAAAATTACCTTTTCAGTACATCTTATATACATGCATTTATTGGTTATTTGAGTAGGTGTTGTAGGTGAAGCATCCTGGTTGCAAAGCCATCACCTCTCCTAAATTCAAAACCCCATTTAAGTGATAATCTTGAGGTGCTGAGATGTTAGTCATGAAAGTGAACATGCTTGCTACCTTTTATTTCTGCTATTAGATTTACATATGAGTTGGGGAGAGCTCTATGGTGTTTGGAGACAAATTTCTTTGCAGAAATGAATCCATTTGCTGCTCTTTTCTTATGACAGTCTTCCCAACCTGGCGCTTTCAGTTGTGTTGAATTACATTTCCCTATTTCCCCTCAACTACAATATTTATTGAGGTTGATGATCTAATATATCTGGAAGATCTCTGATCAAAGGCCATAGAACAATGGTTCTCAGTCAGTGGGAGACATATCACTAGTAGATGCAAACATAATCTAGAAGGGGCAGGTACATTTTAAAAACTTTAAATAAATCCTTATTGAATGTATATTTCTTGTAAGTAACAAATATAATAATTAAATGCTTGTAGATGCATAAATGCCCAACTTAGGGAAAATGTGTTTTTCCTAACATGGTATGCACTTAGGTTTTTAATAGGGAACTAGTCAGAGACTTTAAGAGAATTGTTTGTTCTTAATAGAGAATTAGTCAAAATTGAGATATGAAAGGTTGAGAATCACTGGTGTAGTGAATCCAAAGTCATCAACTGTATATGTATTTTTAAAAATTGTCCTGCAATTTAATATAACTTTATAATTGCTCCTATTCACAAAGCAGATTGCCCTGTTGTTCTGGTACAGTGAGTACTAGTTCATTTAGCTCCTATAATGTTCAGCATGGACCTGGGTTATGAATGAAAGCTCTTCAGTCAACCTCAACAAAGAAGTCTATGGATGATCAGATGTGTCTCTCCCTCTTTATGCAGGAAATTTAATTTCTTCTTCTATATGTCAGATGCTAATGTTACGTGCTAATACAGTTCTCCCAAAGCACTAAACCATTTTCAGCTGATTACTGCAGGCATTTTTATGAAAATGGGGACATAGGCCAAACCAAATTCTATGAGCTGTGCCTGTGCTCTCCTACCAATTTTTAAGGGTAAATGCATGCATTACAGATGTTTTTGTCTAATTGCTATTGTC